ACTACCTAAGAACGTTCCTCTGTTTTCTTAAAAATATACTAAAGGCACAACTGTTCTGAAGGAGATTTATGCCTGATATGTCTTTGTGCACAAATGGATTGTATAAAGTTAGCTACTTACGTCTTAGCAAAAACATTGGGAATATTGCTGCGTTGTGGTGCGTCTCTACGGACAGATATTGCTCTTCTCTCTTGTGTAGTGATCTCCTAGCTTTTGATAGGATGTATCACTTACAACTATATTTTTTTAACCTACATTTCATGCTGAAATACGCTACAGCTGCTATCGCTAGTACTTTTTAGCAGGGCTTGACAAGAGCCAAAGGCTTTGGTCTTCTGTCTGGTAAGAGTCAGGATGAATTGTTGGAACCACATCCTTCTTCACTTTGAATCAAATTACCTGCATCATGCTGTCTTACCGTCATCATCCTCTGAGTTGTTTTTTTTACATAGCACACTACAGGGAGTAGCATGTTGGAAATCTCTGTGTATCATTTGGACAAACTGCTCCAACTTCCTCTGGAGCAAAGGGCTTTCAGAAACAAGTGGCGCAACAGCAAAGCAACCGCAAAGCCACGGATAAAAGAATATTCAGTTTAGATGATTAGAGCAGGGACATTCAGTTTAAATGAACATATTTAAATAAACAACTAAAGAGAGCATTACTTCTCCATATTATTGCTTTATTGCTTAATGTGTTTCTTGCTTTTAGTTGTTCTGGCTTCGTGGAGCACTTTGGGATCTATGTTATGTCTCTGAAAAGTGCCACGCAGATAAAATTTTACTAACTTAATTTCACTTAAATTTCACAATGCTTTTATGTACAAAGTACCAAAGTTTATATCTTTCATTCAGCCCCAGAGAACTGCTGAATGACGCCAGGGTTAATTGCATTCACATCGAGGTTTTTCATGTTACAAACAGCTTTGTTCGGTCCAAATAAGAGAAAATAAAACTGTGTGGAACAATTAGTCCTGTGACATTAGTTGGTGTTTCCTTTGAGCACTCCTACCATCAGCATAAGGGGTGCAGCTTTCACACAGCTCAGCATCATGGAAGTACAGTGTGTACTTGTATTCATTTTTGTCAGATGAATGTGTCAACCGGTTGTCTATGACACTCAGACATTTTAATGCTCTGGGTGTTCAGATAACTGTTTACAAAAACAATGGAGTAGTTTGCTTGTATGCTAATGCTAATGAACTTGGTAATGTGGCTAAGATACTTGGCTTTACTCGCTGCTGTAAAAACAAATCTACTCAGACTATGGAGGATTGTTGTGAGTACAGACCAGTGTGGATATTTTTTTTGCAAGAGCACTTTGAGTCTTACATGTGTGGGCTTCCATTTTATGATACTTTTTTCTTGCATTGCTATGTTTGCATTCCGGAGTCGCATCATTCTAATGTTAATCTACAACAAAATGTATTTTGAATTATTTGAACTGATTTTGTTGAAATTCGGATGGATCATTTAAAGAAGAGAGCAATACTACGTTATCTCGTAACAGAGTGAATATGTCTGTCTTCTTCTCTCTCTCAGGTGATTAATATACAGTAAATTCATAGTGATGTCTTTTCTCCAGCTTCAAAACAAATGAAAGGATGTAAAGGATTTGCTCCTCTAATTCTATCCGGACAGACTGTACGCATGTTTTCTCAAACCACACTTTATCATGAACAACACCTCGGAGAACTGCTTTCACTTCGACATGATGTTTTCATGTTCCTCGGTAAAGAATAGACCGCTGCAGCGTGGCGTTGACAGGTGCCTGAGCTGCGTTTCGAGACACGAGATCGAACCAAGTCGACCGGACTTTGCAATAACCCGGCTCCGTGTCAGTGATAAAGTGCAGCTTATATGTTGAGAAACGAGCAAAGGCGAACTCACGCAGCTCCACCTGAGAGCAAAGCCAACAAAGTTTCGGCTGACTCCTCATCATCGCTGGACATCCACAGAAGAAAAGTTGTGTTTTTTGTGTCCTGTGGGGTTGAAAGACGAAAATCTATTTACAAAAGCATGAAAATATTTTATCACTAGCAGCAGGGGCAGGAGTGTTTTAATGACCTGATCCACAGGCCTCTGGCTGGCTGTGGGCTTTCCCAAACTGCACCGAGCTCAGTGATCTGCCTGCCAACCCTTGGGGCAGCATTGAGATGAAACAGATAAGATAATTGTCTCTAATGAAACCCAGATTTCTGTGTATGTCTGGACCAGAACTAACCGGGCTGTTTCTTCCCCTGTTTTCAGATATTTTTTTTTTTTTTTTGGAAGGCAGGGGACGGAGGGGTGGTGGGGCAGGATAGGGACGGGGGGCGTATTCCATATTGATCTCGAATTCGAAGACAGACGCTGTAAGTCAGTCGGTAATTCAAACCAGAGCCCATGTACCAGCCCGTGGAGCTTTGATACCGTTTGAAGTTCTGCAAGCGAAGGCGGCTCCATCAGCCCGCCGGACCCTGTTGCCATGACAACTCTAATTATCTTCCTTTACGGGCCTGGTTTTTACACAGGAAGGGAGCCATTATGTTCTTTGGGCATTTGCATCTCTCTGGGGCAAGTGTTAAAGGTCAGGAAAATGCACCAAAATAAGAGTACAAGAGAGCAAAGCTGTGCAATGGGGAAAAAAAGGTGACTCATTGAAACATCCAATCCAACGCTTTGGCCAGATTTCTTTTTTTTTTTCTTCTTTTTTTTTGTGGAAACATTTCTTGAATTACTCACTGAAACATTTGTTTCCAAGGACAGTAGAAAAGATCCAGCTTTCTGTAGATTACAAAAAAGTCTCCCAATCAGAGGGGGTTGACGTTTTTATGATGTCCACCATTTCAAATAACGCTTCAATAACATTTTTTAAGCCTAAAGTCATCAAATAAGGCTCTACAGCTACAAAAGAACAACATATTTTCATCAAACAAAATGCATACAAATGTGAAATCAATTGCACTCTGAAGCAGTCAGTGACTTTTTTGAATCAGTATGTAATTTTATTATTGCCTCAGTTTTGCCCCACAGCAACATGTATCAAATAACAATGCATTATTTATTCTTTTAACGTGATAACACACTTGCAATGCAAAGCAAACACAGGACTATTTTTCCTGACGGGTTTCCAGGTTTGGTCAGTTGTCTTCAGGGGAAAGGCACGTGCATTTCTTTGGAAAATGTTTCTGTAGCACCAGACTGACTGAGAAACAACAGAACAAGGCTGGAAACTGGACTGCTGCTGCCACATCACAGATGAAAGGTGCTTTTGATGCCTTTGTTACAGCTATGTGTATTTTTTCTTTTTTCTTTTACAAAACGGAACAGGGACAGCGCTTCAACATGAGAATTTGGTGCAGGAACACATATTTTATTTTTTTTCTTTCATACACTTTATAAATATCAACCTACCTAATCTGGCATAAAACCTAAACGTGATGTGGTTATTGAAGCCTTGAGGTTTTCCAACAGCACTTTCAAAACTATTCATACCTCCGAACTTTAATAAATGTAGGTATGTCAGAAAACACAAATGTCAATGCGGGTTATTTGGGTTGTGTGACAGACCAACGCAAAGTTAGCTGTGAAATGGAAGCGTTCTGAATTTTTGTTACGTAAAAATGCGATATAAGTACATTTGCACTCAAGTCAATACTTTTTTTAAAAATAGCTTTTTGCTGCGATTACAACTGTGAGATTTTTTGCCCATCTAGAAACTGAAACTTTAGTTCAATCTCAAGCTCCATCAGGTTGGATGTAGGGCTATGTAGCGTCAGCTACGTTTTCAAGTATATTCTTTCTCAGTTGGGTCTGCACTTTCTTTCTAAAAGAAAAAAAAAGTTATATGCTTTTATATCTAAACCACTTGATTATATTCCGGCTGTATGTTTTGGTTAAGTGTTCTGTGTGAAGGTTAATCTCCACCCTAGTCTCAAATCATTATCTGCCTGTTTTTTCACATAAACTCTGTCCAGCTTTTCTATCCCTGCTGATCAGGGCAGAAGTGCATCCCAGCCAGCCCGTCGCTTACGGCAGAGCTCTCTGAGTTGCTCAATACAAGAGATAGTGTGTTTTAATCTAACCAATCATGTGTTAAACTTCTCCTCAACTCTATCTCTGATATGTTGTGTTTCTTTGGTCTTGTTGATGCTGTTGCTGATGTTCCCTAACAAACATCCGGGGCCTTCGCAGAACAACTGTATTCGTACGGAAATCAAATTAAAACACAGCTGGAGTTTGTTGGGTCAGTAAAATTATGCACAGGTTCTCGATCTATAACAGAGTCAGAATGAAAAACATTGAAATGCCTGGATGTACTTATCAAAGGGTATGAATACTTTTGAAAGTTGCTAAATATGAACATTCGGTAAATACTACAGCTGGAAAATCAGCGGCTGAAAGTAAAGTGAAGTGAGTTCAGGTGTTGATTTTATCAGTGAGCGTTGTGCCTGAATGAAGAGCCTTAAGTGGTGCCGCTCTGCCACGGGGGTCACAGATAGCTGCGAATCAAAGAGGGAGCCAGAGGTTGACCAAACAAATGGACCTGCCTCTGCCCCTCATGTAAAACTATCTGCCAAACACCAGTGGTCCTCTTTGAACTTGATTTAGCACTAAGGTCACAAACAGCCGGTCATGTGCTGAGGAGGACGAGGTCAGCAGCCTGACAACATGCAGATAGAGGAGATAAATCTTCTCAACGGGAGTGTCCTGCTTCAGCACTCAGCTGCTGTTTTAAGCATTTTTAAATTGATGTTCGTTTTGTGTAATCAATAATACAAGCATGCTACAATCACATTCAGTCATGAAGTAACAGTAAAAAAAGAAAAAAAAGAAAGCTGTTTTCAAAAAGACATTTGCAATCACAATCACTTTGATTAATTAGCAATGACAGCTATAAAAATCAGTACAGTGGACATTTGTCAGCAGATTTTTTGCAATGCGTTCACTGCACATAGGAGTTGGTGACGCACTTGTCTTTTTTTTTTTTTTTTTTTGTTTTTTTTTTGGTCGCCTGACCTGGAACTGTTGAGGTCAGCGGAGTCAGAGGTCTCCATCCAGCACCAAAAACTCCTCCTTGGATGAGAGAAAAAAATATGAAATGAATCAGATCTCATGCACAAAATTAAAGCCAGGGGACATATTATTTAAAACATACACTTCATCTGTTGGTTACAACTCTGTTTTAAGGAAAATGATGTTGAATTCTGAATGCACCAAAAGGAGAATGAGAGCATGGAACATGCAACTTTTTACTTTGCAGCTTGAGCTGGAATCTGATGTGTTGCGAATTTAAGTCAGTAAAATTAGCTGTTTCACAGGGTGAATGCTTTAACAAACAACTAAATATTATTATTATTATTATTATTATTATTATTATTATTATTATTATTATTATTATTATTATTATTATTATGTAACTTTTTTGGTGAGTCTTTTTATCGAGCAGATTAATCATCCAGTGTTCTGCTGTGTGTTCATTGATACCCGAACATCGACATGGACGGGGAACAAAGTTCTCCACTGATATCCAGTTGGATTTTCCCCGTCTCCCCATGATCCCACTTCCCTGCTAAGAGCCTAATTATCTGAATGAGAGTAAAGTTAAAATGACACGAGGGGAATAAGGAGATCTTTGTAACTCTAGGTAACACCACATCAATTATGAGCATGAGATTAGACTCCTGGCTCTCAGCTCTGCCGGGGCCGGTGGGCCAGCAGGTTAATGAAGGCAATGGGATTAATACCCAGGGAGTTGAGCGCCTTTAGGGACAGGAGCAGGGATGCTGCATCATTAGAGGCCTGCTATACACCCTGGGGGCAATATGCAAGGACCGCACATTTCACTCCATTGCCTCAATAAGGGGCAGATTGTGCTCTGCCTAAATTCAGAAGACTGCTTAGTTTAAAAACCCACGCAGGTTTTGTGTTGCTAATTTATTTTGTGGTAATAATCTAGCAAATTTAGAGCCATAAGAATCATTCTTATGTGAAAACCTGTCAAGAATCAGTTCTGAAAGATGAATTCTTTACCTATTTACAGAAAATGTTTCAGTCAGTAAAGAAGCAACAAAGAGATTTTGTATTTTTAACAAAAATAAAAATAATTTTCAAACTGAAAACAACAAAAAACACTCAAAGACTATCATTGTCAACAGGCTTTCTGAGACTTATCTTCTACTAATTTATTTTAGTAAGAGAAGCATGAGGGCAAAGTAAAACAGAAAGTCTAAAACTCCTTTGGCAATCCACTGAGAAAACTCTTCCCACTAAATGGGAAGAGCGCTCTCATTCAAACATTATCAAAGCTAACTTTATTCAAACTTTTGTTGACCTCTCTTTCGTAATGGTTGTGGCCTGTTAGTGAGCTATGGTATCAAACTGGAAGGTTTGGAAGAACATTGAACCAAAGCATGGAGGAGTTCAAAGCGTTCAGGCACCTGAGAACGTCAGTTTCTCAGGCCAGAAACCCAACTCAGCAAATCGATCAGAACACCTTAATGTGGCCCAGACTTTTTGTGCCACCTATCTAGGCAACCACACTGGGTCTCCTAGCTGTCCAGATCTCAGCCAACAAAGTAGACTCAGCACAAGGCAGTGCTGGTGTTGTTGTGGCAAGAAGGAGCCTCTGCCCTCATCAGCTCAGACTGTAACATTTTTAGAAAGTGTTCAACTTTGGATTCCTCTGGAAACAAATGAAAAAAAGAACAACCCAAAAAACAAAGACAATTTGTTCTGAAACAAAGCGACTGAGGGACGAATGAAGATCATATCAATGATAATATAAAAATATAAGTAAAACTCGGCAGAGACGTTATACAAAAATTAGACAAAAGTAAGAAAAGCGTACGATGCCGGGATCTTGAGAAGTTCTGGACGAGGGCTTTTAGTGGCGCTGATTCATTGCATGTCTAATCCCGAATCTAAGAAATCAGCTGCTCTCAGGCAGATCTGAGCAGCCAATCGGATGGAATTTGCAAAGCATGTGACCATGTCGCATGGTTGAATACATTGTTATGTTACGCCACTTTTTTGAACTCAGAGAGAGAAGAAACATGTGAGCATTAGTTGTATTTCTATTAAAAACGTGCACACATCTTTTTTCTGTTTTCTTCTAATGCCGAAAAAACACATTTTTGAGACTGCAGTGCTTCTACTGAATAAGACACTGCATAAGCTTAAGATTGTTCGCTAGTCATTAAAAATCTTGACAACAATGGAGGTGAACAGTTAGATGTATTCATAATTCAACCATGATGAGATGTCAGCGTCTTATTCAGGTGTTAGAGCAACAAGCCCCTTATGCTTTGGACTGGCTAACTGTGCATCGTTTTGGGGAAATGGTAGTCTGCGATTTATCAGAAGAGGCATGGATTCAAAACATTCAAATAACACAGCTTTTTATGAACGGTGTGATGCTTTAAGAGCTCTGGTGGTTGCACATTGGAAAACAAAACAAAACAAAAACAAAACCATTCTCGTCCTACTACTTCATGTGGTTTATGCCTTTAGTAACATCTGGCTGTTGACCACGTGATGCGAAAAATATGCTTTCATTGCAGTTTTGCGAAATACATCTATTTCGATATGGCTGAAGAGAGAGCCTCAACCTAACGCAATTCTTTTTTTTTTTTATCAAAAAATGTGAGTTTATTTCTAAATTAGCATGTGTTCAATTGAGCAAATTAATTTTCACAATTTGATTTTGGGCAATTTTATGGTTAATGGAAATCCAACTAATCATTGTTGTATATAAAACTTTGTTACCAGCTATTCTCCCCTTTAAAGCTTGCACACACATAGAGATTCTAGCTGAACAAAAAGACTCACAGTATTCACTGTTTAAAGTTTTGGCTGATCACAACTTCATTTTTGGGTTATTTTAAAAGCTATTGAATTAATAAAAATAAGTGCAGATGTGTGTGAGGCACATTTGCAAACATTCAAGCACACCTCATGGTCATAAAAACTTTCCAAAAAAACTTTTTGTGGCTGAAACTTAAAAAAAAAAAAAAAAAAAAAAAGGGCCACATCTGACGTGTTTGTGGCCGCTACAATAATCTAGAATTTAAGAGACTTTTGAATAACACAGAATGTTTCACATTTTTATGAGTCTGTGCATTTAATACAAGGACTCATGCTTATATTTTATGACTTTTATGACATGCACAGCTCAGCTTCCAGCCCTCCCTTCTTCTCTCAGGAAACAATACTTTGTGTTTCATGCTAAGACCAAGGCTACAGTTCCACCCCGTCCTGATTGAACATAAACAGAGCCGTTTGAAATCACTGCTTTGGACTCCACTTCATCTGTATGTTTATACTTCCTGTAAGAGGCCCTCTATTTATGGACAACTGAGGAGCACAAATAATCATCGCTCTCAAGTGAAAGATCTGCTTTTATTATCTGCAAAGTTTTGCAATGCCTTTGTGTATGCTCACGCTGCCTTCTGATTGCCTGTTTATTATTCCAGCGTATCTGCTGAGCCAATTGGGAGGAGGGATCTGGCCAATTCTTAAAGGTGCCAAAACCTTTTTCCAGCCCCTTTCCTGTTTCGTGACATCATTGTGTATACCTCTGAAATACACCGATCCGTGTCTGTTCTGCAGCCTGGGTGGCGCACATCGCGCGAAACAAAGGTTAAGCACAAGGTGCACACTCTGTGACTGTCATCTGGACTTGCTGGACTCAGTTAGATCACATACCAGAATCCCGGTGTCACAGTTTTTATGGCCTGTGTGCTGCTTTCTGTGACTCGGTGCAGTTACAGATGAAATCACTCATTTATTCAGAGCAGCTTGTGGTGGCAAGGCTAAAAGCAGTCTTTTAAATCGACACTTGGGAATTCTTTTCTGAGCAACCAAGCTATTTGTTTGCTTTTGCTGAGCAATCCAGAGATTTTATTATTCTGTTTTTGTGTGCAATCATTTGTCACAAAGGCAAGCTTTAAGACATAGGCTCTTTATAGCCATTCACATAACAGTTTCGCAAAAAGAAAGGCATCTTAATTCATTCAGAAGATCTTAGTCAATATTTGAGTAATCTCCTGCCCAAATAGCTCCTGAAGGTAGATCAGAATCAAACAAAAATTTGTATAGAAAAACAACAACTCCCTTCCAAAAAGCAAATTCTAGATTCTGAAACAAGTTTTGCTTCTACAAAAAAGAGGCACGTAATTATTTTAACTTTATCTGAAGTAAAATGAATAACTAAACAATTGCAACATTAAAAAAAATTATGTTACTTGGCTAAATACTTTGCGGGGAAAACTCACTGACACGTCTTTTTAAATATGTTTTTGGGCTCAGATCATAATCATATGCTTGGAAAATAGGTGTGGCCCATTGTTCTCTGAAAAACACCTGTGCCTCCATGTAAAATAAAATGGAATAAATTAAAAAAACATATATTTATTGTGCGTTTGACACTCACACATACCATAGAATTGAATGACAAAGTAAAGTTATTTGACAATGTATTTCATCGAATCAATAATTTGCAATGTATTAGCTTTGAATATATTAATTAAAAGTACCAAATCAGAAATTCGGACACACATTGCTCTGCTCTAATCTAAAAGCGTGAAAAGATCAGATGACCAATGGTGGACATGACTATATAGAAGCTGTAGAATATTTTATAAATTTTTAAATATGTTCTAATTTTGATTTTTTTTTTCTAACTTCCTACAAAAACATTTTCAGGAGGAAACATTGTCTACATCTGAAGGTAGCAGCTGTAGACAGAAAAACTTTCATGTCATTTACAAACAATGTTTCAACGAGGACATAATTTTTCTGTGTGCACTAACAAAATGCCCACCGAGAGTTGTATCGCTTTTTGAAATAATTTACATGTTTTTCTGTTGGTTCCTATTTGTGATAACAACTAAAATTCCTTTCACGTTAAAACATGACGAACCTCCTCAGCAATCAGTCACATGAGCTATGCATGCATCAATCAACAGAGAAGGTTTGGACTGTCGCTGTCTGACTCTGTTTAGCCTCTCATCTGTTTTTGTGCTTTAAATCTGCAGTAGCATTTTTCTTTTAGCCTTGCAGCTCAACTTCTTAAATAACTACTATATTAGCCCTGTTTCTAAGCTCACATATAGCATATGTAAATATGCTATATGTAAATATAGCATATTTACATTTTTTACAAAGGGAGACTTTAATTCTAATTCACTAAAAAAACTAACATAAATAAATAAAGTAAATAAATAAATAAATAGCTAAGAGTCTATAATTTGAGACTTGAAAGTACTGAAATAAAATATTTTGTAGGTATACTAAAAATAAGTTTTTAAAAATGGTGCTGGTGTTTTGTATATTAGGAGCTATCTAATAATAATAATAATAATAATAATAATAATAATAATAATAATAATAATAATAATAATAATAATAATAATAATAATAATAATGTTTTTCCAGTTGAAACAGAAGAACCATAAACATTATTCTTCTTCTAGATATGATTCCCCCCCCCCCACCCCCTCAACAGTGAGAGCATGTATTGCGATATTTATATAAACATCCATCTTTGACAGCTCTTCTGTAATGTGCGTCAGGCTCAATCCATCATTCGTTTTTTTTTTTTTTTGTTTTTTTTTTTTTTTTTTTAAAATTTGGGTGATAAATTTTTTCCCAGTTTTTCGGGGACCTCCCCCC